CATCTCCAACTAGACCTTCTTTGTTCGTTAGTAGAAGGTCTAGCAGTGCACCTCTCCTCGTTGGTGTCTCCACCACCTGGGTCAAGAAGTTATCATCAATGCTTTGCAGGAACCTCCTGGACTGTGTGTGCCTGGCTGTGCTCCCTTCCCAGCAGGTGTCAGGGTGGTTGAAGTCTCCCGTGAGAACCAGGGCCTGTGATCGTGAGGCTACTTCCAGCTGTCTGTAGATGGCCTCATCGACGACTTCTTCCCGATCAGATGGCCTGTAGTAAACCCCCACAGCCCTGGTTATCTGCAGCATTGCAAAGGTTATTTGTAATTAGCGTTTATTTATGTCTAATTTCAACAGCATAGTTTACCCTGTTCTCATTGGATGACCTGAAACATAAGACTTGTACGTTTACCTGTGGTAGTATGATTGTCACATACTCCTGGTTATGTAACGAAAATATTCATAATAATCTATCTCACAGAAAGGTAAAGGGGATGGTATGGACATATGTCCTTGTCCCTGTGGAATAACGTTCTGTATAGTCATTATCTTCAGGGAGGAGGAAGTTGTGGGTGTTATAAACCACTTCTCATGTCCCCTTCAGATTTGAGTATATCAAATTTAAAATGAGATTGAAGTCGAGGCCAATGCCTTTAGGACTGGGATTTATTAATGTTGTCTAACCTTTCTTAATTGCAACAGGGAAAAGGTGGGGGTGCCAGTAGGGGTTCGATTGCCGTTATAGCTGTAATAGATGTTGCTGATCAGAGCACTTGCCAAAATGATGGAAAGAATTAGGAAGAGAAATCTCAGTTTTAGTTCATTTTCTTTGCACACAAACCTCCTCCCTCACGAAACAAGACATTTAAATATAGCTGATGAGAGCTGACATTAGCCTAACATTATCCAATCTATCAGCAAAAGAGGGATCCAGATGATAATGGCTGGAGGAGCCTGGACGAAAAGAAACCAAATCGAGCCTGCAGTGGTAAATCTTCATCAGGCTTCTCCAACAGATGGGTAAAATTAAATTTCCAGTGTTGTAGCTGTAGCTACAGGTAAGTGTTGTGCATGATAATGCTATGTACAATTAATAAAGGTGTCTGACTATCCTAGAGCATTGCCTTTTCTCCTCTGAATTGCTCTGTCACCCCCGATGCACGCTTTTTTCCTGAGAACGTGGAGGTTTGTATTTTGCTTGTGGCTGTGTATGTGGATCTCTGTCAGGAACGTCTGTTCATTGGTTGTCCTTATCCTGAAAAACTTGCATCTACTAAATACTATTTCTCTGTGTCTCCTCGTAAAATGATAGCAGTGGTGTTTAGAGAGGAAGCCAGAAAGGAGAGATGGAAAAGGTGGGTTTATACAAAGCAGTCCGTGAATGAAGACTTCTGAGTTCTGTTACAAAGACTCTCCCCTTTCCTTCAGCATCCCGAGCTGAGGTGAGAAAAGGAATACAATTTTCTGAGAAGGTAATTTTTTACTGCTTGGAGCTATTGGGCACATATGGATGCTGATCATTCCTGCAAAATGCACTTCCAGCCCTGCCAGGGACAGAACGGAAACACGGATACCAAACCCACTGCAAGCGTATATCTTGTGAGTGACCTTGAAAGCACCTCGGTAACACAATCTCTGCTGCCCAGCTTGTGTTGAGATATTTTTAGAAAAGTAAGAGTGGCTAGCATTTTATCGAGCGCTCACAGCATTTAGAAAGAAAAACATTTGTAATCCACAGTGATTATAAGGATTATAAAAATTGCTTAGCTCTTAACGAGCTGTGAGCTCTATATTGCCAATAGTGAGGACTCATATATTGCCTTTACTGTTCTCTCACAGTGTTGTGACTAAAGCAAAATGTTTTTTATCCTTCATTTTGGCGAGCAAACAAGTGGCAGGTTATGAAAGCAGATAAAATAACTTCCTACAAGTCATTTTGGATAGACTGTCTCATGTGTCGATGGACACGTGCACCACGTAAGAGAGGATAATGATATCACTTTTCTATATATGGGGGAGTAAATGAACTGAAAAGCGCAGCAACTAACCTGAATTTCCTCTTAAAACAGAAATGCCTCTTGAAATGCAAAACAGGAAATTTAATTAAAATGGAAAGCAAAGGTTAGTTACTAATCTGTGCATTTGCCAGAGCCTGAAATAACTCGGAGTTCCGTTTCAGATTTGACTGAAAACACAGGATATGTTCAATGGTTTTTTGACCAAAATTACCCCAATGTGCCAGTGCTTAGAGGAGTTGATCTGGAGAAAGAGGTATGGCAGTTTTCTCCTGTTTTACATTTATTTGTGCACCTCCTGTATTTATCTGAAAACTTTGCCTGACATTTTAAAAATTCATGTTTCTAAAGCCATGTGCATTTAATTTAGGCATTCATTTTGCAGTGATGCATCACTCTCTACAGTGAAGGTTAGCGTGCCACTTTTTTGACTTCTACAGACTTCAT